ACCCTGCTGCCCTGGATTCTGGCGCAGTCTGTGGCTCTAAATGCCTCTACAATGCAAGGCAAAGCCCTGTAGTCGCTCGAAACAACTTCTGCCATGAGCCAGAATGAAGCGCAAAGCGAGGCAACGCACTTTGTACTTGCAAGGTGTTCGGTTTTGTCAGATGACAACGTCGGTTCTGTTTCTGCTGCGAGGCAGGTGCCCATTTTGCAAGCATTAGCTTGCGGCGCTGCAGCTCGTCAAGTCGTGGATCTTGAGGATGCCGGTCGTGCTTGCAATCTCTATCATAGTTGCGTTGAGCCCCGTCGCAGTTTGAACCAGGAGGCGAGCAAGGAAGAGAGCCACGCCAAGTCGCTGAGTGCTGATGCAGAGGATCCCAGCTGCGAGAAGGAAGGGGAATTCGATTTGATGGGTACTGAGCGGCACAGATACAGCCTAGAATCCTGAATGAATTGACCATGAAAACCCTGCCCATTAGCAGCCGGAGGCCACACCAGAGCAAATAGCCAATGCTGCTACATCCTGCCCGGCCTTGGTGAGTTGGCCACTCCATCGCCTTCCTGCACAGCCTGCAACTGTGCGAACCGTGCGAGTTGGTGAAACTGGGCGAGCCGTCAGTGTTTCGGATCAGGAGCTTGCTGCCATCGCTCCGGTCCAACTCATCCGTCACGCGCTGCCACATGAGCTTGCCGACCAGCTTCTGGATTCACTCCTGCAGGAATCGGATTCCTGGAAGGCCAGCTCCTGGATCGTGCATGGGAACCAGTTCACAACTCCCCGGACATCAGCAATCTACGAGTTCGCTGCTGGCGGGCCCAGTTCGAGCGAAGATGGCTTTGGCAAGGAGGAAAGTCGAACCAGATGCGAGCCGTCTGCAACCCTTGATCGAGCAGCAGACTTAGTCCAAAACCTAGTTCGTGAGAGAAGGCCGTTTGCCAACTGGGCGCCTACGCTTGCTTTGGGAAACCGTTATGAAAATGGAAGGGCTTGTGTCGGTTGGCATTCGGATTTTCTCAATTCGCTTGGACCGCGGCCGATCATCGTGGGTCTCTCGCTGGGATCTTGCCGTCGTTTCTGCCTGCGCCGAAGTACTGCTCCAGATTCACCACGTGATGCCAGCAAGACCATAGTGGCTTGTCGGGACAGTTTCAAGCTAGGAGCTGCATGCCGTCAAGAGTCACGCGAGTCATGCCGGCATGCTGTCAAGTTGGCAGCTCAAACTGCAGACGGCAAGGTGGCATCTATACCAATGCCTCACAACACAGCCGACAGCTCATTCGCTGCTTTGTGCTCTGCTGTTAGATGGTCCACCAGGTTCATGTCCAGCTTCAGAGAAGTGTGTCAACTGTGCTTAGCCGGCTTTGCTGATTATGAAACTTGCCTGTGCTCGTTTAAACATGAATTGAATTGCTACTTCCACCGTGAGGTTGTCATCATGTGGGACGATTGCCAGGAAGAGTGGCAGCACTCTGTCCCCAGACAAGCTGATTCCACTGTTGAGAAGCACGCCGTGGCAGGATCGCGAGAGTGTGGGGGTAATTAATGTCCGTAGTAGTGCGAACCCTTACGTCCTTCCGACATAATCCATCCTTCGGCCAGGCCTTGTGCGCTTGTCATTGACTTTCCGAATGTCGCGCCCAGAGCTTGCGCAGCATCGCAAATCATGTCACTGTGGTCGCTTGTCTGCATGTGGTATGGTTATCGCCGTTTGCGCCTCGGGGTGCAGGGGCTGCTCAAGTGCCAAGGCAGGCCGAGTGCGCTTAAAAGCAAAGAAGGCGCGACGCGAGAGAGTCAGGCCGGAGATTTTAACGAAGGGATGCCGACAGGACGATACTACCTGGCCTGCTGCCCCATGGGGAACCTCCGCTTTTTTAATTTTTGATATCTGCAACAGACATTTTTCACACTGACGAGCCTTTGAAGGCGTTTCTTGCAGCCGCAGCCAAGGACTTCCAAACAGAGCCATGGCTGAGAGCTGTAGGAGAATTGTTGTGAGAGGTGCGACGAAGCCTCACTGCATCTGTGACTACGCTGAGGTGTGGCTTTTGGGAACCGTGCTCTTGGGCTCAGGAGGAGGCAGAGCGGCTGAGGCAGAAGATGAAGCTTGAGATGGAAAGCCTCGAGTTTCCAGGAACAAGAGCAGAAAGCCCCCAGTACTCTCACCGCAGGCTGACTGGCATACAGGAGTTCTCGAACTCACGGTCCCGCAATGAAGCGAGCACGACATGGAATGCTAGATCTGGCAATCCACATGTTGCAGACAGAGTGTCTATCGAAATTTCAGATGACGACACGTGAAAAGACGCTTCGATCTCTTGCGGCGCCAGCAAGCCCCGACAACTGGACAATCATGGTCTTATGAACGCATCGACTACGACGACCTCGAACATATCACGCGGAGTTTCAAGGAGGTTGGCGAAGGACAGTAAAATTACTGATCACGGCTGCTTGCGGCGCGGCGCAGCCGGACACGACGCACCACAGCTCGTCAACTGCCAATCGCAAGTCTCCCACTTCGTTTGCCAGCCTTTGGAACTACCTGGTAGGAGGGGGAGCCCTTCGAGCACTGGCCTCCACTCGGCGACGCACCGTCCCTTTGCAGAGGACAAGAATCTTTAGCCAAAAAAGCGCAAGCCATGTGACTCCAGGGGACAATCGTAGCTGCACCTCTGGGATTCGTCTGCATGCAGTGCCAAAGCGGAGTTTTCGTTAGAAGTCTTCCCCGATTATTTGTTCGTCCGCAGCTGTTCAAGTGGATCCTTTTTCCAGCAGGGTGCCATGGAGTGGGGTTGCCCTTGTTGTGTGGCGCTGGACTTCGAACCAGCAAACAGCGAGGATGCCAATAGGGCGGATCGGGGCCTTGGGTTTGGGCGCTTGCGTCGCTCCCGAAGCTCCAAGAGAGGGCCGAGGCCTCCGCTAATGTCCCAGGCGTGCGCCTCTACGGCCCCAGCCCTTCCGGAAGACGAGCACATCGCCGAAGAAACAAGAAAGGACCGCAGGAACGTAGTTGCCGTTGGGTTGAACCGCTTCGAAGGAAGCGGCGGCTTGCAGCCACAGCCCGACTGGGAGCAACTGACCGAAAGGGTAGTTTGCATACTGGCACAGAACCCGTCGTCCTTTACATTGAACGGCACCAACTGTTACTTGGTTGGTACGGGCCGTCGACGCATCTTAGTCGACACAGGAGAGCAGCATTTCGGAGCCGATGCTTTCATGCAAAACTTAAGCGAATGTCTTGCGGAGCTCGGAGTGGAAGGTTTAGACGGCATCGTAATCACGCACATGCACCATGATCACTATGGCAATGTCGGCCGGCTGCAGGAGAAGTACGGCCCGGTCCCTGTATATTCGCGAGAATTTTCCAGTGCATCCTTCGCGCTAATTTCAGAGCTCACAAAGCGAGACCAGCTGAGATATCTGCAGGGCTTTGATGGCCGACCTAGATACAATCCACTAAAAGACAGTGCGCCGAAGGTGTTGCCCGACTCACTCGACTTGGAATGGGCAGCAGACAGAGTCAAATACATGCCAGGCAAAAACATAGCGGAGAAGCTCCAGTGGCAGTTCTATTTCGTTTGGAACTCTCAGGACCTGCTTAATCGCCTTCGCAGCGGGGAGTATCCTTGGGAAGCATTGGACACTGGAGATACTATTTCGACGGAAGGGGCGACGCTGACCGCTTTGCATATGCCGGGACATTCGGAGGACCATATGTGCTTCTTGCTTGAAGAGGAGCACTCCCTGTTTTCCGGTGACCATGTGCTGGGCTGGGGAACCACTTTTGTCGTGGAGATGAAAGATTACATGGAGTCTTTGAGGAAGATGCTGCACATGCATCCTATCAGTCTATTCCCTGGCCATGGTGGGTACATCAGAGATGGAGTTGACCTCCTTCAGCGCTACATCTCCCATAGGCAGAAGCGAGAAGAACAAGCATGGCAAGCTCTTGTAAAGCGCTCCGAGCCGGTGAGTATAAAATAAATAGTGCGGGAGCTCTATCCAAAGACTCCTTATGATCGGATGTGGATGGCAAAAAGCAATATAGAGGTCGGGGTCATTGTCATGCTTGTGTCCCCAATCAAGAACTTCTGAAAGACCACATCATTAAACCCTTGAGCTAATCGCTTGGACTCAACATGTCGTCATTTATTGGTTGTGGATCATGGCTGGCCTATGCTGTTTCTGTCATTCGCAGTGACAGGTGCTTTTCCGTAAATTCGTGGCAGATGGTGCCGCAGCTGTGTGGAAACCTGAGATCACGTACATGGAAGCATCCCGGCTGCGAAGAATCAAGGCTTTGCCCAGTGGCTATGTCGAGCGCCGCGCAGCTGCAAGTTAGGTCGTACCTTGGGTTACTTCCACCAGATTACATGCTCTGCAGATTGAGAGCCCCGGCTTGGCTATGCAGGCAATCTTCCAGATGCATATGTGTGGGCGGCTCGGCGTTCTATGGCCAAGCTTTGAGGCTATGGGATCGGAGCTGCGTGACAGCCCCGTGCAGTGCAGCTTGGGGTGAGTTCGCATTGTCCCGTCTCAACGGGGCTTCATCATCAAAGCATGGAGAAGAGCCTTCTCTTTCTGAGCCTGATAATGCGATAGTCTCCTGTTCTCAGTGCTTTGCCCGGGGCGGCTCTTGTGACAGGAGCCGTTACCGGGAAGTTTGCATTCCCGGCAGAGCTGGGCAGGCACCATTTTCCGCCAGCCTTTGCCCCTCATGTGTCCGAGATGTGGGATTGCACATCGCCCGGATGGGACGCCATGGCAGGCAGTTGGTGAGCAGCTTCCAACAACCTACCAGATGAATAGCTTGTCGCACGTCGAGTTGTCCACCGATCCTGCTGCTGTCAAACCACGCTGTGCCGCCTTGTGTGCCCTCAGGCATTTAGACAACCTAGGCTACTTGCAGTCCAGCACCAAAGAGTTGCCAAGCAGGCCAAGCGTGGTGGTTTCAGTGATCGACCAGTGTGTCTGCTTGGAGTACAAAGTTGGTGTGTTCGCTCGCCATGGCTGCGGCGCAGCTGCCGAGCGACCTCGCTGGGGCCTGCCATGCGTCAGCTTTGCCACTTAGCTTCAGTTCCAAGCATGGTCGGGTGAGAACAGAGGCAAACTGAAGAGAAGAAGATAGAAGAAGGTAAGATGGAGACGGTTTCGGAGGTTGCTGCAACAACCTTGGAAAGTTCCAGGCTCCTCGCGCAGCATGGACAAGCTCTGCAGCAGGTACTAGCAAGCTTACAGGCCCCTGTGCGCTGTTGAAATGTAGCGTCGAAATGTTGCACGCATGTTCGTGGTACTTTGTGTCTGCAGGCGGTCCTGGCTCAGGCTGCAAAGGCCGCTGAGGCTCGCAGGGATCGGGCAGAGCAAACCGCCGCAAGTCGGTCGTTTCAGGTGCCCAGGCCAGACAGCGACTGCAGCGCTGACCTTAATTGCTCGGACCACTTGTTGCAGAGGCTTCCCTGCTCTTGCGGCTCTTGCGCAGGCTTAACCTCCAGACAGCAGGAGAAGAAAGTGGACGAGCCGCTAGAAGTTGTCGTCGAGCCAAGCTGCGGAGGACCTTTGCCGTTTGGTTTTGTCGTGAATGGGCGAAGAGCTTGAAGAGGCTGCCAGTGCCGTACCTCGAGGAGACACAGGGAAGAGTTCGAAGCACACCGGGAAGCCTGTTGAGACAACTTCTGCTGCAGAACAGACTTGGACAGTGTCCCCACAGCGCAACGGCTGTGACGGCTGTGTGGCGTGCACGCCCTGTGCACCACCGGCTCAGCAGGCTCAGCAGCCCCAGGTATCTTCAGGATGTCCGAGCTGCCCCCAGCAAGCAAAGGGTTGCGGCAAAGGTCGAGGACTGCCCCTCAAATTGCTTCAGTCAGTGGAGCGGAAATTAGAGTTGCGCTTGCCTCGAATTCGTGTGCGCTTTGAGTTGCGAAGGATGGGAACCATGGCCCAAATTCTACGATCCGGAGCCGCGTTTTGATGGTTGGACCAGCCTGGAGTGGAAGGAGTGGGTCTCTTCCAGCTGTGGCTCTCGGTGGTTCTTCTCTTGGTACTTTCATCACCGACACGTCTCTCAGAAAGACCCCTTTGTCGAACTATGACGCCTCAGGTGCCACAACAAGAAAGCCGAAGCCGACATGCTAGCAGATTGGATGGTGGCCTGTCTTGATATGCACAGAACCATCAGGGATCCTTTGGAAGATGTCTCCCACGCACTGCGAAGTGTTCGGACCGCCGTTGATGAACACACTCTCTGATGGGGCCGCAGGGCAGAGCCAGCTCTGTCTGCGGAAGATTGAACCGTTTTGGAAAGCACTGGGGGAAGGTTTTCAGAAATTTCAGCGGTTTAATGTTTAGTGTGCCCCTGCCGTGGAGTCTCTACCTTGACATTGACGCATGAGCTCGCTTTTGCGCAAGCTCGCAGAATTGAGAATAGTGCGGAACTCAGAGGTTCTCTTCCTGACAGAACAGAGATCGAGTTCAGGTCGAAACTTGGGGCCTCTCAAACTTGCAACGGGGATCTGGCGCCTGAAGCTTAGCCTCTTGCAGCCATCGCCAAGTCATGCTGTGTAGCTGTCGCCATCATGAAGCACCGGCACTGCTTTACAGCTGCTCCTTCAAGCGCATGTACGGGCAAATGTCGTGCTGTTGCAGAAAGGCACTCGAAGAAGAGACAAGCTTCCTTTTGACCTGGAGCATGAACTAGCATCACTTGTGCATGACGTCTATATCCAAGCAGGCATGGTCTTGTTTGAGGCTAGGTCCTTCTTGTGCGGACCATGGTCACTACGGCCGTATGGGCTCCGGTAGCTTCAAGCCGGCCTGTCCAAGCAAGGGCCTCGAAGACTGGGTGTCGTGTTGAGGATGCCCGGCTCCGTGAGTGCAAGCCAAGCCGAGCCTCCTTGCGACGCCTAGCTGTTCTGTCATGCATATCCCTGGCTCGGCCTAGCAGGGCAAGAGCGGAACGGCCGAAGGGGCCGAAGGGGCCGAAGAATACAGCCAAAGTTGCTCTCATAACAGGGGCATCGACAGGAATCGGCAGGGCGACAGCGCAAGAGCTGTGCCAAAGCAGCTTGTATTCAAAAGTTTTCCTTGCAGGGCATAACGAAGCAAAGACCAAAGCGACTATTGACGAGATATGCTCGCCTTCAAAGCTGGAGTATCTCCCGTTGGAGCTTTCTTCCTTTCAATCAGTTCGGCAAGCCGCCAAACAGTTCCAGGATACCGGGTTACCTTTGCACACCTTGGTTTGCAATGCGGCCGTGATGGCGTTGCCACAGAGGCAGGTGTCCGTTGATGGCAACGAACTCCAGCTCGAAGTCAACTACCTCAGCCACTTCTTGCTCGTTAACTTGTTGATACCGCAGCTTTCGAAAGCTGGAACGGATGATGATCCTGCAAGGACTGGTGAGTTAATACGCATGGAACATGCAGATGCTTTCCGAACTTGTTTTGTCTACCCATTGACACGAGGATCATCAATGTGTCGTCCTCGGCTCATTTCGTCCGGAGCCCGCTGGCCTTTGGTGACATGGAGGACCTAAATCTATCAGGTCGTGAAGGCGATAGACATGCATACTATCCCTGGACGGCTTACGGGCAGTCGAAGCTTGCACAGGCTCGGTCGCATGTGTTATCTTGCTTTGGGTTCTTTGCCAACCGTACGGCCTAGGAGCAGATTCCGTGGTACCTGCTGCAATTACGATTTAACTACTTTCTGCGGCGTGGTCATGATTTCAGGTTCAGAAATATACACCCGCTCCCGCCTATTGACTGTTGCTTGATGAAATTCCCCAAGCATGGTTCGGGGCTTGGCTCTCTGCGATCTCTTCATATTGAACTTCCTGTGATTCCTGTTCGTCCCATGCCCCGTAACCCTCTAGGGATGCCTTGGTGGCTCCCGAGTTGGCGGCTTTTAACGCGCGATGCAGGTGATGTTCACCTACGAACTTGCTAAGAGACTGAAAGCTCAGAGCTTGCCGATCGTGGCCAACGCGCTGGACCCTGGAATAGTGGATACCGAGCTGCAGCGTTATCTTCCAACCAAGGCCCGTTTTTGCTCATGCATACTGGGGGGGGGGGAAGAAGGCCTCGATCTTTGCGAGGCACCGGCTGCATTGATGAAGTTGGCAAAGACACCCGAGCGTGGGGCGGAAATTCCGGTGCTCCTGGCGACGACGGAAGCTGGATTGTCTTCAGGCGGATACTGGGTCGATGGACAGCCACTCATCTGCCCTACTGTGCACAAGGGCGCCCGTTGCGGTTGTTAGCTGTTCAGTGTTCAGGCTATCGGAAAGCTTGGGCCGTGGGAAGTCTCCGATGCCTATGAACTCCGAGCTCGCTGTGGAAGGGTTCCCGGTCTTACTTCAAGGATTGCTTTGGTCCTTTGCAGTTGAAGCCCTAGCTTCCTTCCAAGGACGACCTCCTACGATGAAAGTGCTTGGCGGGCGCTTTGGCGCTGCAGCTCTGAACTGGTCGGGCTGGAAAGAACCATCTAGCGGTTCTGACAAAAAGGGGAGGATCCGTGTGACTGGATTTCATGCGAATGAAAGAATTAAAAAAACGACGGGCAGTAATTGGCATTCGGGAGTTGTGAGGTTCTGGACATCGGTGGAGAGCCTGGATTCCTTGCCGCATCGCTTCTCGATCGAGGTGCGTAGTCAGTAGTGTCAAGATGGTCTGAGAGTTTGCTGGTGGAATTGGTTGAAAGGAAAGCTGCTGCAAGAGCTTGCAGGTATAGCTGTGACAGTGGTCGACGGGCATTGGGGGAAGACGGGCAAGAGTAACGGTCACACGCAACTGCAGGAGGCGAAGGCCTGTGTTCATTCTCGGCTCTCACGCCTGCGGCTGCCCAGCTGCAGGTGGATGGCCTACCGTCACCTCAACTCCGGACTATCTGCGCCAACTTCGACGCAGACTTCGTAGTTCTCGACCCAGATGTAGAGAGTCATGGCCTCTAAAAGCATTCGGAATGCAAGTCGTGACCAGGAAGAGCACAAAGACCTGGTTGAGAATGCCAGCGCCATTGTGTCCTTGTATGGAGACGAAGCAACAACGCCTTGCCTGCAGTATGTGGGGCCCCGAGTCTATGCTGAGACTGTATACAAAGGGGAGCGATTTGTGCGCTGAGTCTGCTCAGTGCACCCGAGGCAGCCATCGCAAAGATACCTTGCGTGGTGATACCCTGCAACGAATGTGTGCTGGGCCTGGACTTTGGCTTCTTTGTTGATGTTCGTTGCAAAAAAGATATTCAATCTGCACCGCGGGGAGCAGGTGCGCTTCTACCCGCCCCACCAGCGCAACTACGAGGGCTATTGTCAGGCAAGAATCCAGCCCCCTAATGTTGAACGAGTGCAGGGCATCCTGGAATCAGGCGACCACAGAGGCAGGCCGTTACTCAAAATGCGCAGGCTCTGTTGTCCTTCGCCAACGATCAGGGTGGCCGGCCAGATGCCCAAAGCTTTCACATTGCAAACTGTTTTCCTGCAGATGCGGCCGTTCTCCTGTTGCAGGTTCCAGCGTGCAGCCCTGGAGGGTGCACCGTTTTCCCGTATGCTGTTGGTGCAGCTTCCAGACTCTGACGAGTTTCGGCAGACTCGAGAGAAGCTTGAGTCGCACTGGCAGCAGACACAGCAACAGTGGCAGCAGCAGTGGCAGCAGCAGCAGCAGTGGCAACAGCAGTGGCAGCAGCAGCATTGGCAACAGCAGCAATGGCAACAGCAGCAGTGGCAACAGCAGCAGTGGCAACGGCAGCAGTTGCAGCAAGGCAACCAGCAACTGTGCCAACAGCAGCAATGCCGCCACCAACAAAATAACACCCCAATGCAGCCTTTCCAGCAGATGCAACACTCAATGCAAGCTCAAACTACGAGTCCAGTTGCAGGGTAGCGGAGTGATGACGGCAAACCATGCTGACAAGAGGAAGTGGTTCTTCAGAGCTGTTCGCTGCAGCCTGACTCGGGCACATCCGTGCAAGCCAAGAGGAAGTGGCTCTTCAGAGCTGTTAGCTGCAGCCTGACTCGGGCACATCTGTGCACGCCGCGTTGTCTGCTTCGGGCAGTGAAAACATCGCGGTGAGGGTTTCTTCGAAGACTATTCTCAGGGCTCAGGGTGTTGGTGGCTAGAGATGCTGGAGCGAGTTCAGGCACCGGGTCGTGTGTTGCTGCCACAGATTTTGC